TCCTTAAAAGTGTGGCCCCTGTAACCCTCAAACTGATAACACGTTCAGCTACTAGAAGTGATCCTTGCTGTTGGTGTGCTCCATTATATGCTCTCCTGTAAACTTTTATATGAAAGTGATGTCTCTGGTGAATGAACTCCATAAAAATGTCTTCTGTTTCCTTGACCAAATTTAAACTTTATTCGAGCTAGAGTAAAGAAAGAGTATACATGTGGGAAATTGCTCTCTTCTTTTCTCCCCTTTTTGTTGAGTATGCGATGCGGCATTTAGATTTACTGTCCTTTTTCCAGGTGTTTGAGTAGTCTTTTGACAAATGCCATTTAAAAAGGACCAAGAAAGCATTTTTTCCTAGTTTATAAAAGTAACTGGAAAATTCTTAAAGAAAAAAAGTCATAATGAAGAACAAGCTTTTAACCTGAAAATGGGGTTTTAAAAATGTTGTGTGATTTCTCATGTGGGTTTTCTTTTCTTTTTTTTGCTTTTTGGCAGATGGATGAAACAGTAAATATTTTTCCCACTACAGTATTACTTAAATGTTTCCTGTTAGTGTGGGTGTTTACTTGCATTCTTTGGTCTTCTCCTCAGGTGCTAGAAATGTTCATCTTAGTATTGCAACAGTGTCATAAAGAAAATGAAGACAAATGGAAAAGATTGTCCCGGCAAATAGCTGACATTATTCTCCCAATGCTTGCAAAACAACAGGTGATTATATGACTCTTTAAATCTATGAACATCTAAAATAATTGTTATAATGTATCTATCAATAATGGCTTTGGGTATTTGGGGGTTTTTTAATATGAAGACAGATTTTCTTGAAAGTGTGGTTGCCATATCTGAAAAAACAATTACTGCAAGGTAAGCTAAGTCTTTGAAGTGATGAAGGTCATATTTAAATGCAGAAAGTATGTGCAGTGTCTTCGAGGCTGTTTCCAGAGGAAGCTCATTCTACTTCTCTTACATACATGATTATATCAGAGCACTTATTAAATGGTGTGAAGATTCTCCCATGTTTATAGAATGTCAAAATTATTTTTTCGTAACTGCAGTGGATCTAATTGCATTTTTTCTTAGTGAGGAGAATGAAAAGACAGTCTGAAACGGCATTAATAAATCACAGAATCATGGAATAGTTGAGGTTGAAACGGATGTCTAGAATATTGTCTTCCCCTCAAAGCGGGGTCTACTGGAGCAGGTTGCTTAGGACCATGTGCAGCCAAGTTTTGACAGTCTCCAAGGATGGAGCCCCCATAACCTCTCTGGGCAACCTCTTCCAGTGTTTGAGCATCCTCACAGGCGGAAAACAAATAAATAAAAACTGTATTTAAATGGAATTTCCTGCATTTCAACTTGTCTATTGCCTTTCATCCTGGTACTGGATACCACTGAAGAGATTCTGGGTTGCTCTTCTGTACTTGTGTCATCTCCTCCTCCCACTTCCCCTGGTCAGATACTTGTACAAATTGATAAAGATCCCCCTGAGCGTTCTCCAGGCTGAACAGTCTCAGCTGCCCCTTGTATGACAGATGCTCCAAGCCTGTAACCATCTGTGTGGCTTTCTGCTGGACTCCCTCCAGTGTGTGCATTTGTCTCTTACTGGACTGTATATTGGGGGAAGGAGAGTAGGTCCTTTGTATCTGGGAAGAAAAGAAGATTCCTTTTAGGAGAAAGATTTTTCAGTGCTGCTCCCTAAGCAACAGAGGACTTGTCTTCAATACAGCTTTCCTGGAACTAGAAACACTTACTTCAAGGATAAAAAGTAAAACTAGTGAAATTGTGCCCTTAATGTTCTTTACTCTATGATGGCAGATCCCCACTCTCATGAGGAGTTCTCATGGTTGGAGAGAGTGGGCAGTTATTGTGGGTCAGATAACAGGTTTTGTGCATAGCTAAAATGCTGGCAAATTGAAATTGCCTTTGTTTTGTATGAATCTGTGTATGTGCTCAACTATCAAATTATTTAGGCAAGATAGGGTTGTCTAGATTTTGAGTCCAGTCCTTTGCTTTTTGATTTTTATAATTTATCTAAAGTGATCAAGTAAGGTGTCCTACCTGTGTTGCTGCAGTGTAATACCATTGTAGCTGTTCACTTTTCTGATGATCAGGATTTTTTTTTCTCCTAGTTACCTGCTTAAGTTTATTCACGACCAGCTTTGCTCTCTATAAATAGGCCTGGTAGGATGTGCAGGGAGGAGAAAAGTTTTTAAATTTTATGACAAGCCAGTCTTTTGGTCTTATTCTGAATACGGCACACTTCTCCTAATAAATATGTGGTATGTATATTGAATTTCATATGATGGATTTTTGTCTGTGTTCTCAAAACTCCTGTGTAGGAAGGCCTTCAATGAAACTTTAATTTACCTTTCATAGCTTTCGGTTGCTCTAAACTTTGTACTGTAAAGGACAGTTTTAATTACACACAGGTTGTCATAGAAATGTTTAAAACATGAAATGGTACTTTTGTGTTGCAGTTACCTTTAGTGGGTAGTTAGAAATTAGTTTTGTGTTGGTTTTTTTTTTTCTTTTACAGATGCATATAGACTCTCATGATGCTCTGGGAGTATTGAACACTTTGTTTGAAATTTTGGCTCCTTCATCCCTTCGCCCTGTGGACATGCTTTTAAGGAGTATGTTTGTTACTCCTAAAACCATGGTAAGTAATTGTTTCCAGAGAAGAGAGAATCTGGTGTCTTTCATGCAAAACAAAAGAGCATGTGTTTCTCTTTCTTAATTTGCAATGTGGTGTTAAAGTACCTGCAGCAGACTTTAGAAAAGAATTGGTTAGAACTAATGTGATTTACCAGTGGGGGGCACTTTATACAGGAACGTTCTGTTTATGGATTGCTTACCTTCATTTTGTATTTTGAGGATTGGGAATGTAGAGAAACATACAGTTACAGTAAATTCTAGAATGCAATTTAATAGGTAAATCACGTTTTTCTTATGTGACTTTTAGTACCAGTTTTATAATTGGGAGATTGTTTAACAGAGTGAATGTAAGCTTGACAGTTACCACAAGAATAGCATTTCGGAAGACCTGAACATAAAAGTTACTCCCTGCTTGCTCCATTCTCAAAAGGGTCTGATTTTATACAACAGTTAATGAAAATGTTAATTTTCTTTAATACTTTCCTATGTGGTGATGTTTAACTTCAAAGGTATTCAATCTTCTGCATTTTTGTGTTTGTGTTAGGCATCAGTGAGCACTGTCCAGCTATGGATTTCTGGAATTTTAGCTATCCTTAGAGTTCTGATTTCACAGTCAACAGAAGACATCGTTCTATCCCGTATACAAGAGCTTTCCTTCTCACCATATTTGATTTCATGTCAAGCAATTAACAGACTGAGACATGGAGAAAATAACTTATCCATACCAGAGGATCGCACTGAGGTTAAACAAGCTAAATATCTGCCTGAAGAGACATTTTCTAGGTATGTTGTCTTTTGAATAACTTAGGGGAAAGATTAAGATTTCTGAGAAATCACATCTATATTGTGCAATATAAACACATGTATAGAACTGTTATCTGATAGGAATAAAGTCTGTTATTAAGTTGATATGGGAAGAGTGTGTGTGGAGGAAGGAATAATGAGGTGAACAGTAGAGGGAGGAGATAAGCAGTTTGTAGTAGGGACTTTGGGCTGTTCTGATACCTCTTCTTGAGCCAAGTGAAGGACCTAATAGAGTTGTTAAAATGGGTGAATCCTGGACTTACTAAAATCAGGTAGTTCATGATTAAAAAAAACTTAACTGGTTAACCCTTTTCTTCCTGTGTGGGGACTGAAAGATGAGTCATCCCCTTAGTAGAAGCCCAGGTTCTGTGCTAGAATCTTGGCAGCAGAGGGATTCGTATCTATTAGTCCTGCTCTTTATTTCCTATTTTTAAAGAGCTGGCTTTGTCTAGTTAGCCTCCCATGCTGATGTCCTCAGAGTGACAAACTTCAAGCAAAAGAAGCGTGGAGAGATGGCAGTGGTATTATGTTGACATAATTGTCATTAAGGCATTATGTTTTAATGTGGTGGGAAACATTTGAAATAGCTATTTGTTTAAGAAAATCAGAACTTTTTACTTGAGTATGGAACTTCAGATAGAAATAAAATGCTGTTTCTTACCATTCAGCTCCCTGCGAGGGTGACAGGTAGAGGGGAAAAAGGGCTTCAGGACTCCCTTAATGTGACCTTACATCCAACAGGAGTGAGTTGAGGAACGATTATGGCCGGGAGCACGGATGGCTTTCCTCGGATGCCCTCTTTTTGGTCTTTCTTCTGATCTTTTTTCCTTGGCCCTGCCCTCCCCTCCCCCTTCCCAGGCTGGAGGTTTGATATGGAACCTGTGTGGTAGAGTGTGGATAGATGAGGCTGTAAATAGCTGAATTACTGTGACTTGCTGAGTTACCCCTGCTCAGCTGAGCTGTGGTAACTGTCATGGTGGGGGTTTTTTTCAGCTCACTGCAAATCGCTATAAAGACACCATAGCATTTTGAAAGTTTGCTGTGTAAGTGAGGTGGGCTGGTGTATGCATGCTATTGTGACTTTACCTGATGAGTAGATAACCCAGATCTGATATGTAATTATTGAAGTGCTTGTGATCATCTCTCCATACCTATAGCATTATATTTGTTTTAGGTCAACCTGTTCTGTAGCATTTAATTTAGCATCCTATTTAGGATGAATGAACAGGGACTTCATATTTTATTTTTCAAACTTACTGAGTTTCATGGGCAAACCTCATTTTATTCTGAAAGATGTCAGGTTTATATTTTTTCTGTTGATTGTATACTTGGTTTTTCAAGGTTCTTATTACAACTGGTTGGCATTCTACTGGAAGATATTGTTACCAAACAATTGAAAGTGGACATGAATGAGCAGCAACATACTTTCTACTGCCAGGAGCTGGGCACGCTGCTTATGTGCTTAATACATATCTTCAAATCAGGTAACACTTTAAACAATGCCTTGTGTTGTAGCATGCAGTGGCAGGGTGTTTTTTCAGTTCTGAGACAATTGTTGAATGCAGTGAACTACTGAGAAGGAATACGTAGGTGCTGAAGGCATTTTATCCTACTCAGTATAAAGAACCTCTCAAACTTTGTGCTCGTGCATGCAGGGCACACTTTCACATTTCTTCTGTCTGTGTGGAACAAAATGTAACTAGTGACTTTTCATCTCTCCTTTTAACTGTCTGAAATTTTCCAGTCCAAAAATGCAAAGCATTCCAAATTTGTGGCTGTATTTGTCATGTTTTTTCTCAGTTTGGAGGTTGGTAGGTATGTCCAGGCTTAAAATACTGAGTTACCGACCACTGGTTCAGACTCATGACAAGGTAGGTTCCTGTTCTTTGTCATAATTAATAAAAAACATACAACCCCCCCCCCACCCCCCCCCGAAACCCCAAAACAAACAACCAAAAACCAAAACCAGAAAAGTAGGAAAGGTAGTACTGTTCCAGCTAGTCAGTCTTGAGCTCCTTTCTTCAGGTTTGGGAATTGTGCCTTTGGATATCTAGCAGAAGACACGTATCTCTGGCACTAATTCCCGAGTCCTTAGGCTGATTCCTTAGTCTTATTTTCCTAATAGTGGCACTATCTTCCCTTTCTTTTATTCTTTCTTTACTATGACTATCCTTTCTGCCTTCTGATTTTCACCCTGCAGCTGAAATCCAACCTTGGATTACAGTAGTTGGCTGCAATTTAAAATGTCGTGGCACAAGTCCCTGGTTCTTCATAGACTTCCTTACAGATCCAGGACAAGGAACTCTGTGTTCCATGGCCTCATCTGTAAGATGGGAGTTAGAGTACTTCACTACTTAGCAGATGCAGATAAAAAAAGTGCATACAGAATACTGTTAGACATATAACATGAGTCTGTGCTCCATTGTGTCCCAACAACCTGTAATCTTTTTTCTTTTTAAGCTCGTCCTACAGAGTTCAGTTATAAAGTCCTTTTTTGAGGAAAAAACCTTAGATCGATTCCTGTCATTGCTACCAGCTGCTTCTTCCAAACATAAGTATCGTAGGTGTAGACTTAAAATAAGTAAATAAAGTGCTGATGGTTGTGTTCTGGGTCTTCAGCTGGTTCTCTGTCAAAGCTCAAAGCTTCTGCATTGCCTTGATTTAACTTTCAGTAGCTTTACTCCTCCTAGTCTTCAGTGACAGTAACAGGTAGAAAAGCAAATGGGAAACCAATTGAATTATGTTGTGAGAGTTTGTGCAGCCGTGGTGGATGATGTTTTGTCTTCTGACTTGTCAGAAGAGAGCTTTGGTTTAAGAAACAGTCTTCCAAACGTAGGTTCGTGCCGCAAAGACTCCGGGATTGTGAGTGAAGAGGCACAAAATATGGTGATAGTTACCAGAGTCTTCCTTCATCTGTTTTAAGCCTGCTTTAGGGCACAGGGCTCTGGATATAGTGAGTGATAGTTCTCTTTTCCCATGTGTCTGTTACAATAATAACTGAAATGTGTATACTGTTAATTGCTGTTATGGAGAAACATTTGAAACAAATATTATAACAAATAACTTATGCCAAGGTGATTTGGAGTAAGTGATTAAACGGTGTCATGCCAAGACCAATGAAATCAGAAAATCAAGGTGGTGATTGAAATCAGGGAAGTGGGTTCTTCCACAGTGGGAGCTGGGGATAATGGAAAGGGAAGGCTCAGCTAGTTCTGCTGCAGTGACTGGCTTCCAAGCTGCACTGTGATCCTTGCCAGGAACTATGTAGAGATTTTAATGCAAAATTAAAATTAAATATTAAAATACTCATGCAGAGCACTGGGATATGTGTACTGCATGATCTCTAGAAATGAATTTAATCTAAGACTACAAATATCTCTAAGTACTAGTAGTAATGTGGTTACCTGATAGAGTGTAACAGAGTAGAAGGAAAGTTGTTCAGACACTTGCGCTGTATTTTCGTGTCATAGCATTTTCTTTCAGATTTAGTCTTAGGGTTAAATAAGTGCCTGGTTTTGTACTAATTCTCTCTTGTTCAGTTAAAAACTCTATAATTTTTTTTTCCTCTTTAAGTTGTATTCTCCTAACTACAGGTGCAGCTTATAGTGACTTGTGTCTGGGAACATAGACTAAGGTCTTCTGTCATTTTTAACCACTGTTCTTCTTGGATGTTTTGTCTTCTCACCCATTATAGTTTTTTCAAAATGTGAGCATTGCTGAATTCTATGTAATCAACTATAGGAAGCTACCAGATTAGAAATTAACATTTTCAGTGTGCTACCTTGAAGTTAGTAGAAATAAAAGGCATAGACGAAGTGAAAAGATTAGTATGTAGCGGCTTTCATGACTGTAGAAAGTCACTAGATGGTGCAATTACTGCAAATGCAGGAAGCTGGAATGGGAATAGCATTGGTTTGCTAGTAAGCGGAACCTGAGTTTTGAGACAGTTATTTTTCCCATTCTTTGCTGTTTACATTGTGTATTTATCAGTCCTGGAGGCAGCTTAAACTGGTCCACATGGCTGTGGAATTTACAGCTTCATTCTTTGTATCTGGCAGTGCAAGCAAGCAGCACCACAGATCTCCTTCATTATTCTGATTAGCTTTTGGTTTCTAATTGGTTCTGAAGAAACCGTTTTTTCCCTGATCTTATCTTCTCATAGAAACTCAAAGTCCTGTACCTTTAGACAACTTCAAGTTTGTCCATTTTCCTTGTTTTCCCTCCCTTCGTTTTGGCATATGAATACAGAATCAGCAAGTCAGAAAGCAAAATTCAACTTTTGTGCTGAGTGTTCAGTGTGCAGGGTAATGACTTTTCTCTGCTTAAAAACATTTACTTTTTGCACTTTAGAAATTGGATAGAAGGGTATCAGTTTAGTTTCAGCTAAATGTATTTGGGAAGCCCTCATCTGAAGTAGGAGACTTGTAAGTGATCTTCCTTAGCATGTAGAATAGTAGTTACAGCATGGTTCTTAATTAGAACTTCTGTGTTTTACTTTATAAACAAACCAAAAATAATCCCAAAAATCCTGGTCTATAATTAACAATTTTAAATTTGGTAAGGTTTTCATGTATCAGATAAACTTTTTGATGCATGACAGAAAAAGTTGAGAAGATAGGTTTCATTACAATTCTAGTCTGATCTAAAGCATTATTTATTAAGTCTGGGAGCTGGTCATGACTGGTTAACACACTGCCCTTAGGCAAACTCCATGACTTGCCTTACACTTGTAAAACTACTTAGGATGTATCTTTCTTCAGGAATGGTAGTGGCTTATGAAACAAGATTTGTATTCTCAGATTTGTATACCCTGAATAATTTTAAAACTTGACTAGAGCATAGTTACTCTAACATGCTTTTATTGTTTTCAGGGATGTTTAGAAGAATCACAGCTGCAGCCACCAGACTTTTTACAGGAGATGGATCTGATGGTAGTTTCTATACCCTTGAAAGCTTGAGTGACCTTGTTCAGTCCATGATTCCCACGCATCCTTCTTTAGTTCTCCTCTGGTGTCAAATCCTGCTTCTTGTCAATTATACCAACTACAACTGGTGGTCAGAAGTGCATCAAACCCCGAAGTAAGATTTGTTTTTGATCCCGAGTAGTAGTAGTGTGTCTCATAATTATATTTGCTAAAATTTTATTTTAAAAAATCTAGCTTTTTATCTGCTAAGCCTGTCAACCTTTTGAATAGTACTATTTGAATTCTGAAATAAATAGTTCTGCATTTACTTTATGTGTATACATATTGTCTGTTCTGATATCAGTATGTCTTTCAAACTAAGAAAATGTGTCCTGCGCCCAGTTGTTCCTCAAAAGAACTGCCAGGTAATTTCTCCACTTTTAAGCCAAGAAAGCTTCATCTATGTACTACATTTAATTAAAATTATGGAAATAACTGTAACAAAATATTCAGTATTTCAGATTTCATGTTCCTATGGAGACTTCATATTTCACGTTCTAGCAAATAAGCAGCCATGCAGATGATACACTGTTGTGTTTATGAAAATACAATCTGATCAGTATAACTGTAACTATAGCTGTATCTGTTCTCAGTGGGTCTATTACTAAATGCTATCAAAGCATATGAATCAGCATGGTGCTGATACTTAGCATTAAGCACCATAGTAACCTCACTTAACATTAGTTGGCTGAAATTCAGAGATTTGGTCTAAAATTAGTGTTCTCTTGGCACGAAGGTAGTTCATCCCACCTGTCAGGCATTGGAATGATTCATCCTCTGGGGGTAAAGTAGATAACCCCCTGTGTGGGTGGGTATCCCTCTGTGTTAACTGTAGAGGGAGATTAACAACTGACTTGAGATGTTTCTGATGCTTGTGCAGTAAATTTTAGGGAAGGCTAATCTTGGTCCACAACATGAGTAGATCAATACTTGCTCAGATGTGAGATTCTTGCCTCAGTTCAACCTCATGATGTGAAAAAATATTATTCTAATTTGAGGAAACATGAAATTACCAGGCTTATGAGCAAAGTAGGGCAACTAAAATAGCTGAGGTGACATCTGCTATTTGTTGCAGTTATCTCTTTTAATTTACCAGTATCACCTCTATTTTTTTCTGGGGTTGCCATCACTTTTGATCTGACACTAGACTAAGTGCTCAAGAACACTGGTTTGGCTTGAGAAGAAAATACAGAATTAGGTTCTGTTATCCCACCAGACATGCTATAGCCCGTGTTTTTCTTTTAAATAACCTGTTCAGTTCTTCAGACTGTCCAAGGAAGTAATAAACACGGAACTAGTGTTTATTACTTCCTTGATAATAAACAAGGAAGTGATACTGCTATTGTTAAAGTAAAGAGCTGATGGAAAGCTAAGTGTCTACTTCAAAGCAGTATAAGGCTTGAATGAAGTTTCTAGGAAAATAAATATTATGTAAGAACATTGGTAGGATATTCCAAGCAATTTGATTGTTAATGTTTCAGTAGCCATAGTAATAAAATATAATAATAAAATAGTAACAAAATATAATGTGCTTCTTGCAGGAGACACAGTCTTTCTACAACTAAATTGCTTAGCCCTCAGATATCTGGAGATAGTGATGAAGCTAACTCAGAATCTAAACGTGGCATGTGCAATCGAGAGATAGTGAGAAGAGGAGCACTCATTCTTTTTTGTGACTATGTTGTAAGTTTTGAATTTTATAACTATAGTTTTGAGTTATTACGCTGACAGTCTTTTATTACTGATGTGCATTAACTGAATCTCTGGTTCACAAGTGAAAAATGAAGACTTGTGAAACTAGTCATTTTATTTTCAGGTGGTGCTTCTGTAAGCTCAGCTATGACCTCATTTGGCATTTTTTTTCTATTCTAAACTGAGAATTCTCTTGGCTTGTAAAGGATACCTGGTGGGTAATAGAATTATCTGCTGGGTATCATATCCCTTACTTGTGAAGTACTAGAGCACACTAAGTAGTGCTAGACTTCCCAACATCAGTAGCAGTGCACAGTGTCTAGGAGACAACAAATTTCTGTCTCTGTACCTTAAGAGGAGAGGTTTTACATGAACATTTAACTTCCATTTTGATTCTCTAATGAGAGCAGTCCCTGTGGCTTTGGCCTCTTGCTGCCTCAATATTAGCATTTTAGTTCATTGGGAACTTTTGAAGTGAATCTTCCTGTAATATCTGGTAGTGCACTTTGGTTTGCGTTGGAGAGCAGTTTTGGGGTGAGCAAACTGCATTCCTTTCAGATTCAACTAAACCAAAAGATACGTTTTAGAAGCACTTCAAGTACTAATGGACATTCGGTCACTAGAGTCAGACTAGAGGTAGTCCAAGGTAAAACCCTCCAAAACCTCTTTACTGGGGAGCGTCAGCCTCTCAGCATCACCTAGTTAGCCCTACAGATCTTTTCACGTTGCATTGCACTGCTTGTTGATATACACATAGCCTCCATAGGTTTAAAACTGATTATTGATAGATGTCTTTGGATTTGCTTTCCAGAAATCGTTCATCTTGTGTTTATGGCCGGTAATAATAAGAAATCTTTAAAAAGAAGCCTGAATGAAAATCACATTTTACAAGAAGACTGTGTGTGCATGTTTATTTCAAATAGCATTTCATTAAAAGCGGCATCTTTCAATTGACCTTTTCAATTTACTTGTTTCTAACCTGGATTTTTAGTGTTTTAAAAAAATAACTTACAAATTCATTAAATCTCTTAATTTGCAACAAGATCAAAAGCATTTGGAAAATTTGTCCTGAAAAATAATGATGGTGATATTAAAATACAGACACTTTATGCCATTATTTTAAAATAGCTACCAGAATTATATATGAAAAACTTAATGTTGTGTCAAATAATGTTTTTAGTAAACACTTAACATGGGTATTACTGGAATCAGGTTTTAATTTTTTCCCCTTTAGTGTCAAAACCTACATGATTCAGAACACTTGACCTGGCTTATTGTGAATCATGTTCAAGACTTGATTAATCTGTCCCATGAGCCTCCAGTACAAGACTTTATTAGTGCCGTTCACAGGAATTCAGCAGCCAGTGGGCTCTTCATCCAGGCCATTCAGTCACGGTGTGAGAATCTTGCAGCTGTAAGTTTAACTTTTTCACTTTTTTAAAGAATAAAGTCACTTACACTTCAGTATAAGTTTAACTGATAAGTATGCAAATTCTGACATTTCTGGGTCATTTATCAACTTTATTTTTAAAGTCACTTCTTTAAAAATGCAAACAATGAACACTATATTAGCAACTTCAGTATCAGATGTGTTCCAGTCCATCAAATCTATGAATTCAACTAGAGTTGGTTCAGCTGCTTTTCCTTCCTTCCTGGGTATTACCCCCTGCGTAATAAATATCTGAAGGGTAAATTAAAGTTGTAACTTTCGTCTTTGATTTCAGTACCTTGGTAGCATAAGTAATAGAACTACTGACTACAGAGGCAGGAATAGGAACCAGTCCATCTCCATAGGCACTAACAACATGAAAATGATTTGCAAGCTCATGCCTTCCCCATTGATCTGCCCCACAAGTCATAGTCTTTTGTTGAGGGAAATACTGCTTCAGAAATTCAGTGTATGATTTCTGTTGATTATTTTAGTTTTCAAATTAAAAGGAGTAGATGATGTTTTATAGGGGTGTAAAGTTGTATGCATCCCTCTTAATCTTGGGAACTCACTAGGTAGGAAATGTCATTTCCTGGGCTTCCTCTAGAGCTAATGGGGGGAGATGCTGCCGCACCCTGAGTAGCCTGGTAAGCCTTTCCTGTCTCTTCTCATTGTCTCTGTGCAAATCTAGTGCAACTGCATTAGTGCTTTAGGCAAGTGAATAAAACACTTTAAAGTTAGGTGAGATGAATCTGGGCTTTAGTGTCTGAGAATCGGTAGAATGAACTAAATGTGTTTGAATGGAAGATGTAGTCATTCTGTGAAATGTTTGGTGATTATCAGAAAAGTCAGTAAAATTAAAAGAGCTGATATTTACAGTCTGCTCTTAAACAAGATTGGTTCCATGAGTCAAACTAGTTTGTCTTTGTGTTTCTCCCTTTAGATTATTGGTGCTCATATTTAAAAAAATAAAAAATAAAAAAAATTGTACTCCCTTTTAATCCTGAGTAGCCATTGCTGTTTCTACGATTGAACATGTGCTCAAAAAATCCCTAATGCTTATCAGTATTCTAATGTCTCTTGTCTTGACTATGCTCATGTTCCTGCCTTCTTCCAGCAAGAGTTCAAGCTTCTCGCTGTTCTCAAAGCTTTCTACAGTTCCACCTATATCTCTCTAGCTTTTTTCCCTAAAAGTTTTGCTCCCTACTTTTGCTTGGTCTTTGTAAGTAAGCTTTTACAGTTAAACATCAAACAACTTAGTGTTCACATTAAATAAGCCGTTAACTCAGCCCTGTATAGATGATTATATTGATCAGGCAGTTGTCTGCTATAGTTTTTTTCTAAATGCCTTTCCCTTTAGTTTTAAGATCTTTGTATTCTAATTTATTGCACTTTTCTGTCTGTTTTGCTTCAACATCTAGCCCACAACTCTGAAGAAGACTTTACAATGTTTAGAGGGAATACATCTCAGCCAGTCTGGGGCTGTCTTAACACTATATGTTGATAAGCTTCTGTGTACTCCATTCCGTGTGCTTGCTCGCATGGTTGACACACTGGCTTGCCGTCGGGTGGAAATGCTTTTGGCTGCAACTTTACAGGTAAAGAAAAATATATTCATTTGTAAATAAGATTGGGTAGTGCTAGCAATATAATCAAGTGTAATGATTTAAAGTACATCAAAATATGATGATGTTCAAGTTATTTCATTGGAAAGGAATTTATTTAATATAGAGATACGTGAATGTTTACATTTCACTTTATTGTCTATAATTTTCCTAATCTGTTCAAAGCATGGCTATTTTACTCACTTTTGTCCTATAAAATTCTTGTGACTCTTTCCTATAGAACAGCATTACTCAGTTACCAGTTGAAGAACTGGATAGAATTCAGGAATACCTTCAAAACAGTGGATTAGCAACAAGGTAAATAATACCAATACGTGTTCAAATGCCAAACTAAGTAATGTTCTAGTACTAATTGTGTTAACTCTGTTTTGCTATGTTTGGGTTTTTTCTTAAAGGTAAGATAGTCCTTTTTGGAGGTAAAACAGGAGTAAAGCCTCTCTTACGAGATGCAGGCATATTCTGGCACAAGGGCAGTTGTGCTGGATGTCTTGAATTTGCAATATACTTAAGAATTAAGATATAAGGAAGAAATTCTAGATATAAGGAAGACATTTTTTACAATGAGGGTGGTGAAGCACTGGAACAGGTTGCCTAGAGAGGTGGTAAATGCCCCATCCCTGGAAACATTCAAGGTCAGGTTGGACGGGCAACCTGATCTAGTTGAAAGTGTCCTGCTCACCCCCCTGCAGGGGGTTGGACTAGATGACCTTTAGAGGTCCCTTCCAACCCAAACTATTCTATGATTCTATAATTAAATCAAGCTAAAGGCTTGAAGGCATCAAATTCTCTCTCCCACATCCCACTCAGTATTTAACTGTTGAGAGACAGCAACCACAAATTAATTCCTTGACAAAAACTACATTACTGAAAACAACTTTTTTCCTCACTTTAGCAGAATTTTGTGAGTCCAAGCTGGGTGGGCTTGTTTTTTGATTGTTTTGTTTTTTTTTCCAGCTAGCTGTGTTGAAAGTTTTATTGTTTAGTCTCCCTGCTGTTTAAAAGTAAACTGATATTAAAAAAAGGAGAAAATTACTCCATTTTTGAAAAAGCTTTATTTAGTGTTGGAAAGAGCCGAACTTACTCCTCTGGATGTCATTGCTGTTTGAGGTTAATATCTCTTGACTGAAATAAAGAAGTAGGGGGAAAGAATCTAAAGCCCAAGACTGCAGTAGATTGATGGTAATGTGCCTTCATAGGTCATGTTACATTTGAATTTTTAAAAAAACCCAAAATCTCCAAATGACTCTATACAAGTTCTTGATAGCAGTAATGGGAAAAAAAACACAGCAAACCAAACAGACAAAAAAACCCTAAAACGAAAAAACACGAACAAACAAAAAACCCAAACCCCTGACACTGACATAAATCCACAAACTGGAATTCTTGATATACTTTTTAAAAAAAGTTCCGCTTTAGTGGATTCTTGTTTGGTATCTGTTAGAACGTATTTGTCGGCAACCAAATCATCTGTACACTAACTTTGATTCTTCTTACTCATTAAAAAGACTTACTGCATAAAGAAAGCTGAACAGCTTGCATTTTATGCTTAAGCTTGTGCAAATTTTAAACCTAAATTAAATTTAAATCGTTATTGTTGGTGGTGCTGAGTTCATTTGCTTGGGCTACTGATAGCTGGTGAAATTTGCAGTTTTGCATCATATGACTGCATATATCCACCAAAGAACTTAAGACCCTACTGCTTTTCTCTCCCAGGATTAGAACTGGCTCACTGGATGTCTTTCTATTTTTAAATTATTTACAAAACTGAGTAAGTTAGCTCTCTGCTGATGTGTTCTTCTATTTTCAGACACCAAAGACTTTACTCGCTCTTGGATAGGTTTCGTCTTATGGTAGCACCAGACACATCTAGTCCTTCACCGCTGGTTACCTCACACCCACTAGATGGAGAAGACCAACCAGCTTTAGAGAATGTGATTCTAGACAAAGTAAGATTATGTTTAGAAAGAGTCACTAAAAGTGCCTTGGCTCTAAATAAGCTTTTGCTCATTACAAAATATTTAAATATACCTTATTTTTACTATGCAGTTAATGTTCTCAGAATTGTTAATGAATCTCAAATATGGATCAGTGAATGATTTCATATGTGTTGGCTGACTGTTGAACTTAGGATGAATAATTAGCATGTGCATACATGTTTGTTATGTTGACGGTGCTGTGAAAAACTATCAAGTTCTGTTTCTTTACATAACTTTAATGGAAAGATTTATATAAGGTTCAGTAGAGACAGATACATACTCTTCTTTTCTTGATGTGTTTACTGCAGTGATCAGTCTTACTCATTTCCTGAAAGCTGTTGGTTGTCTCTTGGAAATGAAGCATTACTTCTCAGTTGCCACTTCTCAGCTTTAAATTACTTTCAGAGAACGAACATGGCTTTTTAACTGTTTGTCTTTCATGTACTTAGATGTGTTTATTTCAGAGCGGGTGGGAAGCTAAGAGCAAGCCATTTGGGGTCCTGTGTCTTCCTTTCTTTCTAGTTTGTCCCATGGCACAGATCACTTCTTTTCATTTCTTCGTGTTCTGCAGTGATACACAGTAATATGGAACGTGTGTAACTGAGGTGGCAAAAATTATTTGATTAGCTGGCAGTTTGGAGGAGACTAAGTAGTTGAGGAACCCATTGACTTACAAGAGATTGAGAGCTACTTAGACAGCAGGAGGAAACACTGTTTGTGCCCAGAAACCATTTACCTATGGCTTTCTGTCTTCAAATTAACCAAAAAATCTCCTTCTTCCTCTGTAATTTCCTGCACAAAGGAAGTAGTTTTTGTATGCTTCCTCCGCAATGCCAACATAGTTCATAGAATCAAGTTGGAAGGGACCCATAAGGATCATCGAGTCCAACTCCCTGCTCCTCGCAGGACTACCTAAAAATAAACCATATGACCAAGAGCGTCATCCAGATGCTCCTTGAACTCTGACAGGCTGTCGTCCACGTGCTCCTTGAGCTCTGACAGGTTTAGCTGCATTCTAATTAATATCAGCAAATTCAGGATGTCCAGTTATGAGAAGGAAGACACAGAAAAGGGATAAATCTTTATATTCCTTAGTTATATTATTAACTAATTCCTGTAGGCTCATCACTAATGATGTAAGGAGTAAATTTGCAGTGATCTGTGATGGTCTTCATATATTACAGTGAGTGTTAAAAGATAGGTGTTATCTCCATCTGCTGATTTATTTGAATCTGAAGACTTTTCTTACGTGGTTATAGTATTGGGTTTTTTGCTATTGATGTTACATTTGTGTAACTACTGAGTAATCCAGTTTTTTTTCTAGATATTCTCCTCAGCTTTAGGATCCTAATACACACACATACACCTGTGCTAAATGTTAAGCTGCTTTTTTCCTCATTTCCTGTCCAGACTGTATGGAAATAGACAACTTGCCAGTGAACATCCATTGGTCTATTTTAAGATGGTCCATTCACCAGTTGTCTATTTGGCCTTGCTTTTTTCTTTGAGTTTTTTTGACATAATGTGGCCTAGTGATCTCTTAAACAGACCACAAATCAATGCAAGTGAGCGATTCTTCCCCTGTCCCCATGAACTTCATTATTTTCTGAAAACAAATATGTAATAAATTTCTTTTTTTAATTATTAAAGGACTGGTATGTTTCACTAGTGAGGTCGCAGTGTTGCATGAAGTCTGACTCAGCACTGCTAGAAGGTGCAGAGCTGGTAAATAGGATTCCTCAGCCTGACCTGAACTCCTTCATGACCAGCAAGGTAACTTCTTTGTCAGATGAAACAGTCAGCTGAAGAGGATGTAATAAATTATTTCTAATGTTCTTATTGGTAGCATTTCTAAATTAGTCTTAAATGTAAACACTTCAAATTTATATAATACTGGTGGTTCACTACTTGAATTTCACTTCATTTTGGAAACTAAAATAGTAGATATGTTTCATTTCTGTGTCTAGTAATGCTGCTGATAGTAGCTTTCTAGTAGTACAGGTTGGATGTATGGAGTGGAAGTGAAGGTTAGTTTATGTATTGCAATCACAAAAATCCAGTTTTACCATTTTACATAATCTTCTCATTTTGCCATACAGTCTCTTAACAAGGCCAGATGTTTCTGTAACCTTTTAAATATCTGTGCTAGGTTACTTGTAATATGCCACTAACAGGCCACAGATAGTAAATCTGGTGTAAAGGACAACTTGTATTTATTGTTTCTAACGACTTTGTTTTCTAAGAACGTATTTTGTTCAAATTCTGTACATTATGTTTGCTGCTGGTATGCAGAAATAATAGTGGGAAACTCTTTTTAAAAGATTTGGCTTATTTGTTTGAAAACTTATTTGAAGATTCCTTGTATATAGGTCATCCTTGAGCTTTATGCGCATATTGTTCTGAAAATTTGGAATAAGCATATTGATTTTTCTTTCCAGTACAGTAGTGTTTGGAATTTAAATGTGGAACAAATATGGTCTTAATTATGGTATTGTTACACCATAATAGAGCAGAGGTCATAATAACAAGTTAGTTAATAAACTGTTAATTTACCACCATGTTAATATGCCAGAATAGTACCTTCAGATGCTTAGCTTCTCTCTAAAAGCAATTTCTTTACTCTTTATTTACTATTTGATTTCAGGAATTCAACCTAAGCTTGTTAGCACCTTGTTTAAGCCTTGGCATGAATGAAATCTCAAGAGACCAGAAGAGTAGCTTCTTTGAAACAGCTCGGAGGGTAACTCTGGATCATGTGTCTACAACTGTACAAAACCTTCCTGCCAACCACCAGGTTTTTCAACCACTATTGCCAACTGAGCCATCAGCCTACTGGAAAAAACTAAGCGATATATTTGGTAATAGAAATAATAGTCTTTTTATTCTCTCCTCTGCAAAGGTACTTTACAGATGTCTTGTGAATACATGAACTTACTATTTTAAAAAAATCAAGATACCTGCCATAAAAGTGCTTATGAAATAATTCTGAAAAACATTTATTGAGGGGAAAAAAATTCAGACTGCTAGATTTCATCTAGTCTTATTTTGTAGGAGATGAGGTGATGTATCAGTCTATGATGACACTTTGTCGTGCACTGGCTCAGTATTTGTTGTTACTCTCAAAACTACCAGCTGGTCTCCATGTTCCTCCTGACAAAGAGGATGATATCCTGAAATTCGTAGTTATGTCAGTAGAGGTAAGAAATTACAGCATAATTAAAGATGTGATGAAAACGTTGGGAGAGGGAACAACTTGACTTAAACTGATCACCATTGAGTAACTTTTGGTCTGGGCAATTTTCTTAACTGTAGAAATTTCTTCAGTGGTTATTTTATTTGATGTGTGGTAGTGAATCAGATGGGCTTATGGGACACAGGCAGCTTTTTACAAGGAGAGGTTGATTGAATGATGGAATGATCTTGGCATTTGGGAGAATGGTCCTGCACTAATTTTTGGGACAACGAATAGACAGTATATAATGCTCATAATTTTCTTGTACTTAAAATAAATCCTGTTCTCTCAGGAAAAAAAGCGATACAACTTGCTAATAAAACTTTACATATTGCTGAGTAAAAAAAATAAACAAACCACCACCTTTGGTTATAAGTTCTGTTGCGAGAATTTGCTATTAATGGGAAATTTTTTTTTTTTTTTTTGCACAGGCACTATCATGGCATTTAATGCATGACCAGATTCCATTAAGTGTAGATCTTCAAGCTGCTCTGGATTGTTGCTGTCTGACATTACAGCAACCTAGTCTCTGGAATTTACTGGCTTCTGCAGCTAATGTGACATATGCTTGCTCCTTAATTAATTGCATTAGATTTATCATAGAAGCAGGTGAGTCCCATTTGAACAGCTATGAGAAAATTTTCTTGATAAATTGTCAGTCATCACTGATCAAATGCTAGGTGTCTGGAATATCTCCTCTGAGTCCTTTTTAATTATTTCTTTGACAAATTTATTTTTACTACTATATTTTCTCATATAAAATCTTGTGTTTACTTTTGAACTTGGCAGATGCCTTGGAGATGTTAAATATTTGACTACTATGTGGTTTTGAGGAGAAAAATGGAATATGAGATATATAATGGCTGTGTCTTTTAAATATTTTTGTCTAATTCAGTTGCTGTTGAACCTGGTAATCAACTTCTTAGTCCTGAAAGAAAGAAGAATACTTCAAAAGGCTTAAGTGAGGGTGAAGGTGATTCAAACGCACAGAGTAAGTAAATGGTGATTCCACTTTTGCCTTAAACTTTCACTGAAGAAATATTTGTAGGTACCCTTTCCATTACTGTTTTCTTAACAATGAGTGTTCATCTGAGACCTTATTTGTATTTGATAAATATTTATTAAATACAGGTTGACATATTTTTAACAGGTATAGTTGTTCTTTCTTGAAAGTTAAACATGAATGCAGATTTGTCTTTTGGGGGATTCTGTTAGCTGTGCAGCATGCTGTAGACTGAGCTTTTTAAAGTGTTGTGGGATT